TGAGTAAGCTTTTAGCTGGAAACTGTGCAGTCACAGCTAGTGCAACATCAGGATAGTACTGCACCATCCAGCTTGCAATTTGTAGCACTGTCATTCTAGAAAGGAGAAAAAAATGCATAAAGGAGAAACTACATCCATCAGCTTGCAAATACCTTGTAAACATGAATTCAAATTAGAGATGCAGTTTTCAAACACAAATGTGTGAATGTACATCCATCTTTAAGGTATTAAATCATAGAGATTATAATGTCAGAATTATTGATTCTCAATGAGATCCAAGTATTGATGTCATAAAAATCATCCTGAATTAGTCTCCTGCCTGCAAAGGAGCTGATTCAAAAAGCAGAGAATGGATCTGGAGGCCTCTGAATGTGGGTCTTCTGATTTCTGTAGTTTGAGAGCCCTGATGCAGACTTTGGATAATAAACACCTTTTTGAAAGAAAAATAGGTAATCAACAAAATTCCAATTTTAGCAGTCTCACTTTCTTTAGTTTCCTCAATTGGTCTTTCTCCAAACAGCCTTTGCAAGGAAACTGGCACTGTTTGTCAGCTGAGAGATCTCTACAGTGTTAGAAGGGGCCCCTGGACTCTGAAGTTTGGTTCCAGACTGGAAAATTTGGGAAATAAGAGATTTGTTCCCCTCTAGTTCAAAGGCCATTCAAGTACCTGCATATTTAATTGCTGCAGAGTACTCAAGACATCCCTGTGGAATTTGCAAACCAGTTAAAGTTGCAACTCTTATGTACCCTGAAATAGCTCCTGCACAGCTGTATTCCCCAGAGATGTGCGTGCAGGAGGGTGCACAGGGAGAGTGCAAGCCAAGGATGTCAAGTTAATGATAACCCTTCCTGAATATTGCCATGGGATTTTTAGATGCTTCTCAGCTCCCAGGGAGATGTAGGAAGATAAGACCCCAATTTAGCAGCTCATCCAAAAAGCAGTAAGTGGTTCTGACAGAGCAGGTCTCCCTAAGATCTGTGTGGAAAAGTCAGACTTGGATGTGAGCCCAGCCTTAGGGCTGTGCTGAAACTCAAGATTTTGGATCCTAGAATGACTTCAGGCGATCCATACTCTGACAGATAGGGACTGTGGGATTTGGATTTAGTGACAAGGAAATTGTTCCTAAAATTACTGGTGAGGAAAATGGAAGGAGGAACAATTGCAATTATTTGCTGCTACCAAGACAGGCGAGACCTGTTCAGGGAACAAAGGCAGGCTTTGCTGCTTAATTTGGTCACTCTGACACATCCCAACAGCTTTACATTGGAAGGAAAAGAATCAGAGGCTTGCTCTGTGAATAGCTCATATATCAGAGTGTGGGAGAATGAGACCAGCTTTAGGTAGTTTGACTTTATTATACATCACATGTGCCTGGAGCCCTCTATCAACACTCCAGCCTTGTGGTGCTGCACCAAGAGGAGCAAACACAGCCCCTGCCTCGAGATCTCACAGCCCAGGGTCACAGGGGTGACAGGGGTGACAGCCAGAGGTGTGGGCAGGGACATACTGGTATGACAAGCAGTCTGCATGGCATCCACAGCCCCAGACAGATTCATCCCCTGGCTCTCCTTCCTGGGATTCGTGGCAGAGGTAAAGCATAAAAGTGTGGTTGATAGAAGACGAGATGGTACCTTGTGGGGAGATTTTTGCCATGATTTAGGGGGCAGGCTATGAGAAAACATAAAAGTGTCTCCAGGAGAAATGACAGAATCTGTTTTCTTTAGTGAAGGAGAAAATTTTCTGTAGTGACAGGATATTAGATTTAAGAGCCAAGGAGAGACCAAGCAGTAAAGAGGCTTAGAGGTAAAGGCTCGAGCTTTTCTTCCAATCCCACAGAAATATTTATAGTATCAAGACATGTGCTATCAAGATGAAAAAATGAAATCTCAGTAACAGTACTTTGATGGTTTTTAGCTGGTGGGGATCTTGAAAAAAAATCCATTGTGTTTGACTTCATTATAGAAAAGAAGCTATAAATTCTCTCTGCTTTCCTCATGAATGATCCCCAAGGGCAGCTGGGGAGTCAAGTTGTTCCAGCTTTCACACAAATGTCACTTTTCACACTCAGCCCATGGTGCCTCATGAGCACCACTGCAGCTTTGGACACAGTGCAATCACCACTGGGGGTGCTGTGCAGGGGCTGTATAGCTCCAGTCCTGGTCTGTACTTCCAATTTTCAGGTGTCCTTGAGCTAGCATCTCTGTGACCTGTGCCTTGTGCATGAGGGATATAAGAGAAGGAAAGTTTTTGTTGAGTTTATAATGTTCTGTTGTGGTTGTGCCTCAATAACTTTAACATGAGAGCTGTTCCTACTCTGCAATTCCATGAACAGATTATGCAATGTATTTCTATTGCGTTAAGCTTCGTTTTAAAAACCAAATAATTCTGAATCAGAAAGCCAGAAATTATCAAAATTTGAAAACTGTCAAAATAATATTTTTCAAAACATTTTCCAAATAAAATTTCAAAACTTTCAAAAATTCAAAATTTTTCAGTGTGTCCTGGCAGCCAGGAAAGCCAACCATGTCCTGGGGGATCAGGCCTTCCTCCCTCAGCCAAGACAAGGGAGGAGATTGTCCTGCTCTGCTCTGCTCTGCTCTGGGGCGGCCTCACCTCGAGTGCTGGGGGCAACTTTGGGTGCCACAATGTAAGAAAAACATTGAATTATTAGAGAGTGTCCAAAGGAAGGCATGAGGATGGTGAGGGTCTGGAGGGGCCATACAGGGAGCAGGTGAGGTCACTTGGTCTGTTCATCCTGGAGGAGAGGAGACTGAGGGGAGACCTCAGTGCAGATACAACTTCCCCAAGAGGGGAAGAGGAGGGACAGACACTGATCTCTGCTCTGTGGTGACAGTGACAGGACCCAAGGAATGGCCTGAAACTGAGTCAGGAGAGGTTTAGGTTGAACATTAGGAAAAGGTTTTTCACCCAGAGAGTGGTTGTGCACTGAACAGGCTCTGTATGGAAGTGGTCACCAGCCTGACAGAATTCAAGGAGTGTTTGGACAATGCTCTCAGACACACAGGGTGTGACTCTTGGGGATGGTGCTGTGCAGAGCCAGGAGTTTGACTTTGATGATTGTTGTGGGTCTCTTTCAACTCAGGACATTCTATGAAAAATGTACTGAAATGGAATGTCTGCCTCCTATATGGAAGATCTCCTCCTTGGTGAAGTGATATTTTCCACTTGAGAAAAATTTTAGCTTCAGTGAAGAGAAAAACTGCTGCTTAACAGAGTGCAGAGTGGAGAGAAGTGAATATAGAGGAAATGTGTTTAAAACACTGAAATGGAAGTTGTTCCTTGAAGGATAAATCGGTCTAAGACAAGGCTAAAGAAGAGACATTACAATATTTGGTATGGGATGCTAAGAGCAAGCAATTTAGCATCTTTCTGCCATTTCTGAATGGCAGAAACAGATTTTCAAAAGTGTATTTAGTGGAGTTGGAAGCCCATTGCATGGGTCTAGAAGAGTGAATCAGTGATAACACCCAAGGTACCAGGACTGGCTGCTTGGTGCTACTGTTGTGATAGAGAAAGCACACGATTCAGGAGAACAGATTTACTGGGAATGATTAGACTAAAAAAAGGCACATATAGAGAGGGGGGCAGGTGGTGTGTGTGTGTATGTGTCTGAATATCTATGTTATTTATCAGGAAGACAGGCCAAGGTGTGAGATTAGAGAGCAGAGAATGATCATGAATAAAGTTTTGCATTTGTAATTTATGTACAGGCAGGTACTAAATCAGACCAAAAGGTTATCTCTGCAATGCTAAATCTTGTTTTCCCAAAAGAACAGTCTCTAAAAAGTATTTTCCCCTGATTTCTGTTTTTGTGATGTATAAGGATGGCAGTACTATAATTAATCCCCTCTTGACTCTGCTCATGGATGTGGTAACTTCATAGAGCAGCATTGTTACACACTGAACAAGCTGAGATTTTAGCTTCTTACTTACTTACCAGAATTAATGGGAGCAAACCATTCCTCTTGGGCTGTACAGGAGAGACAGGTTATATAGAGCAAGTTGAAAAGAAAAATGTTAGCCACCAATTCAGTCCTAATTCTGAGAAGGAGTTTCTGCTCATAAAAAAAGGTTGTGTGCCTGACCTTCCTGGGCACAGAATGCCCCCAACTTTCACCATGAAATCTTTGATGATTGAGTGTCCTCTGAACCAGCTAAAGCAAACACAGTACACAGTCCCTTTGAAGGTCTGTGCATACTCCTCAGTGCTGTGCCTGCCCTCAGCTGGGCTCATTCTCTCTGAAAAAAAGCACTGCTAGTGTCTAATTTGTGATGGGAAATGTGTTTTTTGGGGGTGATATAATCCCTGAACTTAGCTTTGATTTGACAAAATCACTTTTATCATCTTCACTCCACTTTGTCATTGCCTGCAGAACAAGTGCAGTCAGTGTTGTCCTGGAGTGCAGCTCACAGGGCACTGAAAGGGGGATGGAAGTGCAGGCTGGAAAAGAGGGGTTCTGACTTTGGGCTCAAGCTCCCACTCAGAGTTTTGGTGGCTGCAGCTGCTCCTGGCAGCCCTGGGTCTGGAATCACAGAAACACCTGGGAAAGCAGGCAATGCCCCCTATAAGTCAGAACCATTCAAATGGCAGGCAGTGCACTGAGCAATTCCTGAGAGCAATCCCTGCTCTGTCCTCATCTCCCAGAAAGCAGCTGTAGTTTGTCATGGTGATTTTCAAGCTCTGGGGAAGCAAGTTGCTTGAACCAGGTGCCCCATCCAGCTGCTCAGACCTCAGGAAAACCACTCAGCGGACTTCAAGAGAGATTAATCAAATGGCCTGGCTTTAAAAACCTTACCTAGAGCGGGTGATCTATTGCTGGATCTTGCATGTCAGAGCAGAAACATCCTTCCCCAGACCTGGGCTACACAGCCTGTGCCTCTTTAAATCTGCGCTGTGTGCTGCAGAGCTCTGCATTGTTGCCATGGCAGAAATCTCCCCATAGTAATAACCTCTTTCAGAGAAGGTTAAAAAGAGACAGTGCACATGCTCAGAAATGCTGCACTTGTTCTCTTAGCAGTTTGCAGCGGCCATTTCAAAGAAACCATCACAAAGACAAGAGAAAGATCAGGTACTGATATTTTTTCCTTTGTTAAAGGGGGTGACTTTTCTCTTTCATAGAAGTCCATGCACAGATCTGTCTCTGTTCCCAGCTGCACTGCAGAGAGAGACCACCCTTGAAGCCTGTCATGATTATTCCTTGCAAATTCCCATGCAAGAACTAAGAGGCAGGAGTTAGATGTGATTTAAGATGATTGCTGCACTAGAGGAGCAGTTGTTTTGCAGTGGGGCTCACCTACAAAGCTGAGCTGACTCTGGGGTGGGTGATGGGTAAGGTACCCCAAAAAAAGTTTAACAGTGTGTCTGTTTTGTTTTGTTGAACCTATGTAGTACTTCATCAGGTGCTTCCAAAAGAGGCTGGTGTTGTCCTGATTTACTGTTACTTGGAGACACTCTGCTGCATCTTATTGCGAAGATCTTATTTGATTGTACTTATTTTGATTTCAGATCACCGTTAATTAAAAGAGAAAACCCAAGCCACTTTTTAGTGATTTAATCCCTTTATTTTAGGAATTGTAGAGATTAAAAAAAAAAAAAAAAAAAAAGGATCACATCAGATCTAAATAGTGGGTGGGACAGGAAACCCAATATGAGGGTATAGAAATTATATTACCCTATCTTTTTGTTGCCATGGGCTCAAGTATATCTGTGACTCTACTTGTACATCTTTACCTCTTGCTTCTGAACCATTCCCTGCTCCTGTGTTTAGGCTCAGGTGCACAGGGAGGGGATGTGAATAATGCTGTTCCTTCCCTGGGTGAATTGCTGGTTTGCACATGCTGCAAGTGTTCGTGCAGAGTTTGCAGCTTCACTTTAGCTGTGTCTGAAAAGGTGGATTGCACATATTGAAGAGCAGTCTTGTTCTGTTCTGTGTTTGTGGCAAAATGGGGAAAACCCTTCCCTTTCCTGCCTCCCTCTACTGCCTTTCTAAATGTGAAATACAATCTGTTCTGGGGAGTGCTGTACTCTTGCATTCAGTACATGCAGATCTAATGCTCTTATGCAACATCTTTTGCTCAGTAAGCACCAACTTGAAAATCAGAGAGAGGCAGGATGTTGTCCTGCTTTCCCACAGTTAGCTGAATGGATTTTTTATGTGGATTTTATTGTACTGCCATAACTTAGCCTTATTTTAGTCTGTCTTTCTTCCATTTTGATGTATAGGAATGAAAGGTAAACTTGGCTAAAGACCTCCCCAGCAGTGTGCCAGAGTCCTTGAGGCTTGGATTGGGGTTTCTAACCAGCAGTTGCAACTTGAGCCAGTCCCTTTTGCTCTGAACAGTTTACCTGTTGTGTCAAGAAAATACTTAATTTGAAACTTACAAAAAACTTGCCTCTGTGTGAAGGAAAACTGTTGCTGGACCAGGTTGTACCAAGATTTGGGCATGGTGTGGCCTGGATGTGGTGTTCAGGAACAAATGGATGGCTGCAAATAATGACCTGAAGCCCAGATTAGGAGGGGAAACAGAAGGTCAAAGAGTTTTGATGCATTTACCATTAGAAATTCTACCTATGAATTTGTGGAGCTTTAACAAAAGTCTTTTCCTTCAAATGCTTTCATAAAGGCATTTTTATAATTAGTGTGTTGTGTAATGTTAGTGGTTACCTTTAGTTATTTTACTTTTGAAAAGATGATGCAGTAAAGCAAGCCAAAGGCCAAAGACCTTGTTTCCAGGTTCTCTCTGTAATTCCTGAAGTTTTGATCTCAAAATATAACAGTGAACGAGCTCTCCAAATTCACGTCTGTGACTGTGTAGTTAGAAAAGTCACAGACCAGGCAGAGCTGCTTGGCATCCTGGCCTTCAAATGAAACCAAGGACACTCTAGGGACTTCTTATCTTGGGTAGGGATGTTCTCTCCCAGCTGAGTTTTATGTACACTCTGGAAAGGTACAGAGAACTCTTTTCCATGCTCTAGATCTTCTGGTGTTTTGTTTTCTTTCAGAAGAAGACTGACAGTGCTTTAGCCATCAGGGACATTAACTTCTTTGTGCCAAAAGCCTTGTGTGTAGCGTTCCTCACGAACTTGTTTATGTCTCTTGACAAGCAGAGAAGCACCCATTCCCAAGATGCTGGCACCCTGCCTTCTGAGGAGAGCTGTCCTTACAGTTCCTTTAGTTTTTGTGGTTGCACTTCTTGTCACGGAGCCTGTCAGAGCTGAGCAAGAAGCAGGAACAGCCATACCAGCTGAAAGTAAGTGCCACCTGCAGTCCTCTCCTACAGCCTCATGTTGCAGGACGCTGAAGTTTGCCCAACTAATTCAAACTATTTTGGATATATCTTGCCTACATTGTTTTAAAACCACAGCCTGATCATCCACCAGTGCTGTTTTGCTCCTGCATCCAAAGCTCCTCACTCTCTTATCTTTGTCTCTTGCTTTTTGCTGAAATCTGCCAATGTTCTGCACCTTTTCTTTTGTCCATTGTGTTAGCCCTTTCTATGCCAGCAATCACCATGTTTGCTTCTCAGAGGCATTACTGAGACTTGTTCTTTTTCAACTGACATTGTCTGTTCATTATATTTTGTTCTTGAGAATGTTTGCTGTTTTAAAGTAATGAATTTTTATTAAAAAATCACAATGAAGATGCCAAGAAAGCATTTTGTCAACACCTAGTTTTGGGGCCTTCAGCCACCTAATTCTCATTTGCAGATCTGTGTTGAGTTTATTTTACTTTATAAGCATGACAGGTCCTTCCATCAAGTTGTTGATGTGAAAAAATGCTGTCCTCTCCTTTTGTCCAGTAAATACAGTAGCACTGAAGTTGGGTGATAGTACAATGATGGAGCAGGTCTTTAATACTGTTTAATGTGGGGGTTTTATATATAGATTTTTTTTTTTTCTTAGCCACTTAAATAATTTGGCAGGCTCCCTTTGTCCAGCAGGCAGAATTCCTGGTTGCTGTTAGCACTCAGATTGTGAGCTGGAAGCTCATTGTCCAGCGTGTCAGAGGCATGTGCAGTCCAACATCCAGTGTTTCCAAAATGGGCTTACAGACAGGACACAGACACAGCAGCATTTCCCAGCATTAGCCTGGAGTTCATCCTTTCATTCACAGCAGACCCCAAAGAGCAAACTAAATGAGAATTTCTCTCTTGTGCAGTATTTCTGGTGAGGTTGTCAGCCAGGCACAGGCAAATGAGAGCAGGTGAGCCTGATGAGTTCAGGGTGTTTGGTCCTGTCTGAATTTGTCTCAGTACTGCTGTCTGTGAGGGCACAGATCTGTGTTATGTGGTGACCAAGGCAAAGTAAGCCTTGTGGCCTTCAGACTGAGTGTTTCAATCTGGGAAACACTCCCTTAAACACTCCAGTAAATCCAGATTGCAGCAGTTCTGCTTACCAGCAATGCCTGCTGATAACAGGGCATTTGTTTGGGCAAAGCTGTGGCATATTCAAAGTTAGAAGCCAAAGTGGTCTGCCTTTATGATATTGTAGTCAATTTTATTTTATTAGTTTGCTTTTTAGTGCTCACATTTGTTAGACTAGGGGACAAGTTTTTTCTAGGGAACAGGTTCATGTTTTCAGACAGAATTTCTGAAAAATCTGAATATAAGGTTGAAAATGTATCTAGGGTTAGTGAAGCAAAATGAAAGGTTCAAGTTAAGGGTTTAAAGTTTCCATACAATGAGCTGTGGAAGGAAATGTGGAATAGCAATGTAGCAGGAAGAAAAATATTAATGTAAATTTGAAGTAATTCTTTTATAATTGAGAGACTGGGTGAACCATCACAGTGAACCAATTAAAATTACCTGGGTTGTTCAGGAGTACCAACATCAGTGCTTACCCTATGGACTCTTTTCTGTAGCTCTTCCTGATACTCAAAATCACTGTTTACTGCTTCTGGTTAATTCTTCATGCCATACAGTCATGATTCTCTACTGAATGCTCTCCTAGGCCGCCCCTGTGTTGATTGCCATGCCTTTGAGTTCATGCAGAGAGCTCTGCAGGATTTGAAGAAGACAGCATATAATCTAGACACAAGGGTAAGGAAACATTAAATGTCTTTTTTCTTCCCCCCCCAATATAAAAGAAAATTCTGTGTATAAAAGTAGGTAAGGTGGATGGATTTTGCACACTCTGTGAACTGTGCTGCCCTGTGTTCTAAGGTGAGGCTGGTTAATTACATTTCACCTCTCTATGCAATAATCTGTGGAATTCTTCTGCTTTGGGGTATCAATACCCCAAAGTATTGATATTGATACATCAATATATCAATTGATAAATCAATATATATCAATACCCCAAAGTATTGATATGCAATAGAAAGTATAGGGAAGTGTGAACTGACTATCCTTCTCTTGCCAAATTAGAGCCATTAGTGCTGCTTTTCTCACTCCAAATGCTGAGCACACACCTTTGTTTTTATGTCAGGGGGAGTAAGGTGAGAGTATATTTTATATTTATAACCCAAAAGGAAAGAGCCAGCTCAAACAAAAAGCTTACTAAAATAAAGTACCCCCTTGCACATGCTTTTATCCCTGGGGAGAAGCTAAGGGAGGAAACATGATCCATAGGGAGTTTTTACATTTCTGTGATTTCATAATGATGAAAAATGCCACAAAGTAGAACAGCATAGGGAATGAAACTCGTCTGGCTTGCAGTCAGTGTGCAGAACCTGCCAGGGCTGGTACCTCCCTTCTGTGGGGATGTTGAATCTGTCCCTTGCTGCAGCAGCCTGCAGTCTGTGCCTACCTGTGTCCCAGCTGCTGTCAGATGTGGTGTCCCAGGAGGGTGGCTTTGTCCCCACCTCCTGTGTCCCCTTAGCTGAAGTGCTGGAGATACACTCCTGCACAGATTGTTCAACAGAAGGCACTGAAACTTTTCTGCTTTTCTGATTTATGGTCAAGGTTGTTCACAGGTCAAAGCCTGTGAACTGTTGTCTTTGAGGAATGGTTTGAGCAGTGTCCTTGATGTTTAGGTGAAAATACAAGTGCATGAATGAAGATGCCTTGAATTGTGACATACTACAAAAAAATAAACAAACATTCCAGCAGAACCAGATTGGTATGTAGCACATTTACAGCTAAACAAAATCTGTTCAATAATTACAGGTCAAATATATTTTGGGCTTCATGAAGAAATCTTGCTAATGAATCTGCTGAGCACTTTATGCAGCCCAAACAAGATGTTCAGATTGTGCTGTGAAGTGGTTTTAGCACGCCTCTTCCTACTACAAACCTTTGAACTTTTCATCAGAATTTCTACATCTTGATGCAAAATCTCTTAAAGTTTTCTCTGGGTATCTGACTATGGTGGTGACCTTTATTAAACCTTCAGCTTGCAGACCATGAGAAAAACTATAAAACACAGATATCCAAAGCAGAAGTAGCATTAAGAACCCCAAAGATAGCAACTGTGTTTTAATAGATTTTAAAAAATAAAAATTAAAGACAGCCAAAGAGATAATGTGAGGATAGAAAAAAAGTCAGCTGAGATGAATGCCCTATTATTGGCTTTCACACTTGTAGATTTGACAGCAAGCCTGAAAATGTGATATATTCCCATGAAAACAAACCTATCACTGCCTTATCGCTTTAAAATCTAAATAATTAAATTAATATTGAAATCCTTCAGTTCCCCATGACTAGAACAGGCCTATTCCAGGCATTCAGCTAGGAATTCTGCCTACATCCTCAAAAGACATGGAAATATTTAATAGCTGAGGTCTTCTTGGAACTGTCTTCTAGGGTATTTTAATTTTTACTTTTATTATTCAGCTGTGTCACAATTTAATGCAAACTAAGGGTTTTAGGACCACTGCTTTCAGCCACATATATTTCACATTTGACTATTTTAGTCTGTTTTGCTGCTTTGTGGGGTAAATATTCCTGTCCCTGAAAATACAATTCCCTTTGTTAATATTCCCACTGGAGACATTAATTTCCTTGAAAAACTCTCCTTTGTTTGCAGGCAAGATTGTTAGATGATGACTAAGCAGCTCCTACTGTGTTGGAGGGGGAGGGATTCCCAAAAGCTTGGAGAGGAAATTCTCATTTAATTCCTCCTGCACATCTTACCCTGCAGTCCTGTACAGGGGAAGCCTGTGTATAATGTTATTGCACAAGAATATTGCTCAAGAGCTTTCACACTTCATTTGGCCCTGGGCTGGTCTACATGGTGTCTCAAAGAAAACTGACTCCAGCAGAGGTCACAGACCCTTTCATGAAGCCACAGACTGCATCTCCTTTCTTTTCCAATACCAAAAGGTTTTTGTCACCTTCCCTGGTGTGATGGCCCCTCACTAATTGTCAGGCTGGCTGCATCAGAAGGGTCACAGACCACTCCTGACAGGCTGATTTCTACACATATCACATCTGTTTGCCCCTCTCTGTCCTGCTTTTTTGTTGCTGCTGGTCCCTCAGAGCAGGCTGGAGTAGTTGTTTTGGCAGTGAGAATTAACTCTGGGCAGTATTTTCTGGGAATATCTGTGGTTCACCACTCAGCCAAAGTGCCACATGTGATCATGACCTGGGGAGAGGAGCCTTGTCTGGGCAGTATTTTCTGGGAATATCTGTGGTTCACCACTCAGCCAAAGTGCCATGTGATCATGAACTGGGGAGAGGAGCTGCTGGGAGAGAGCTGCTCCCACCACAGCCACTGCTCTTCATTGCTTTGTAAACTCTCTGTGGTTGTTTAGAATGTTAAAAGCACAGTAAGCTAGATGTGTCCCTGAAAATAAAAAGAAAGGCTTGAAAATGTTATTAAAGATATATAAGATGGTAAACAGCCTTGGGGCTCAGCTGCAAAAATGTTGGCATGCTGTCAACCTCCCTTATTCAAAGCATGGCAAATGATGTCAGTGAGGTGGTGAGAAGGTGGTGATTGAGTGTCTTTTCAATGATTAGCAAAGTCTGGTCAGATCCTTTCAGCTTTGCAGGGCAGCTGAAACAATCAAAAGTGGTACCTGATTTAATATAAAACCACAGGGTTGTGGGTTTTTCCTGAGATTTATCATCTGGGGAAAAAAAAAAAGCTTGAGCAGCAGATGGCTTTTCCTGCACTAAGAAGGCAAGTGCAGAGCAGGATGCTTCAGCCCAGCTCTGCTCTAGGTGCCTTTAGCTGAGGAGGGTCAATGGATAACACAGCTTTTAAAACACAGCCTTTACTCACATGGCAGCTCCATCTCATACAGAAAGGGCAGGTCAAGGATGGGTTTGATTGGCATTTAGAGCTGGTAGTGTTCATAATGCCTTTTTTCCTGTGCCTAGCTATGGTAGCTGGTTACACCAGTAGGGATTTGTGGTATTTGTGAGGTGCCCCGACCTCATACCACTACTTCCAAATTGGAGAATAAAAATAAAATGGACTTTTCTTTGGGAGCTCATTAGTTTTACAATGCTGACTTTTGTTTTTTGACTATGTTCTTCCTCCCTCTTACAGACAGAAACTCTGCTGCTTCAGGTGGAAAAGAGAAATCTGTGTGACTGCATAGCTGCTAATCTACTGAACTGAATCCTGGAGACCCCTGAGGAGACTCACCTGTCCAGCAGTTTTTAAAATGCAGCTGTATAAAATACAGCTTTATGGAGTTCATGTGGCAAGCATGTATGTCCCAATGTACTGATGAAACTGGGGCCTGTGTCTGATGTATTTGTCTGTTCTGTATCTTTTTTTAAAAGTACCCTCTTTTCACATCTGCTGGATTGCCAGTAAGGGCTCAATTCAGTAAATCTGTTACTTGATATTAGGGTGGGGGGAAAATGTACCTGCTTTGATTTTTAAATCAGAATTTGCCAAGTGTAACCCCCACCCAAGATAATTTTGGAGAACAGTGCCCTAGAGACACGTGCAGCTGTTTTTTTGTCTTTAATATGAACATATGTCTGTGGCAACTTACCCAGTTACACTGAGACATGACACTGTAGTCTCTGTAGGCTTTGCCTGTGTATTAAAGATGATGAAGTCCTTTCTGTTTGTTTGTGCTGTGCCCACCTCCAGGCACGTTGTAGTTCTGTCAGCTGTAGTGGGGTGTGTGTCACCAGGAGCTACACATCTGCTGTTCTTGGACCAAACAAGTTTATATCTCAGTGCTGGGCCTTCTGTTTTCCTGCAGAAGAGTGTTTTCTTTAATTAAAATGTTTGGTTTCTTCCCCTCCTTCCCTGGACACCCCATTCTTAACCTAGTGAATTTCTGAGTAGCTTTATTTTAGCAGGTCAAATGGACAGAGTGAAAAGGAGAATCAGGGTATGACAGGGCAGCCTGGCCAGTTCCAGCTGTGCCAAATGCTGCCACCTGCAACTGCTCAGCATCACACTGAAGGGCAGCTCCGTGCAGTGCCAAGAAGTTTCTTCATGAGACTGTGCCTTATTTTGCTTCAAGTGAAACACTGGGATTAGGTCACACATATTTGGTCCATCCTGTGATGGACTGATCTCCAAATGTTTTGGTTTTCCCTTGTAGCTGCCTTTGAAAACTGCTTCTTCTGTTTCAGGCATGAAGAAAGACCTTTTTACCTGAAAGCTGAGACTGTTTCATCCTCACCTCTCCCCCTTTATTGTAAGATACTGTGTCCACTCACAAGTCTGAAATAGGCTGAGCACTGTGAGGAGGTGCTTGGAGTTTGTCTGATGTGCTTTGGAGCTGTCTCCAATGATTCCAACATTGATACCTGGCTTGGGAAGGCGATGGGACATCTGAAGGTAAAAATCTCTTCAGATGAATTTGGAAGAAAGTTCCTGCCTGTGGCTGTGCTTGTGTAAATAAATTGGTGTGACTTAGCTGGAAGTGTATGAGAGAGAAAACACAACTACTGCTCTGCCACTGCAGCTGTAGGTATGGTAACAGTGGGGGAGCACCACAGGGATCTGAGTGGCTTCCCAAACCTGTCCAGAGCTGGGAAAACCAATCCCTGCACACTGTGAAGCACAGCATGCCCTTCTGTGTGACCAGGACACAGGCCAGCACAGAAGCCCAGTGTGTGAAGTGTTATTTTTCCAAATCCCCTCGAGGAGCAGCTGTGCTGTGTTTTTCACTAAGTCCATTCACACAGCATGGGAGCACTGGCACTGCTCATTTCAGGCTGCTTGGCAAAGCTTCACCTGCAGCTCCCTTCCCAGAGAGTGGGAAGGGGCAGCAGTCCTTATCCATGGCAGAGCACTCTCAGGATTTCTGGGAGCAAAGCCTCCTTTGGAGGGCTTCAGCTGGTCCTGGCTGCAGCACAATGGCTGCTCAGAGCTCCTTGGCTTTTGCTGCACTTGGCTTGTCCCCATCTTGTTCTCCCTTGGCTTTGTTCCCCTGCTTTGCTCTGGACCTGTCTTCTCTCTCCTCTCCCTTTCAACCTCCATTCTCTCTTCCATTCTGGCACTGCCCTCGCCCTAATCCCAGGGATTTCTCAGGGCTCTCCAGGCCCCTCAGTCTGGTGACTCTGTAGTCTCTGCAGGTGGAGGCTGATACTCCCCAGGTCAGCAGCCCCTTTAGTCCAGCTGGCAGCACTGCCAGAGCAATGAGTGACACCAATTTACCATGGAGCGAGTGACTGTGGTGTGAGCAACACCAGCATCTCATTCCCAGGGAAGACATTGTGTGGAAGGACCCCTTTTTGCCTAAAAATGAACATTCCTGTTGCAGAATTTGGAGGAAGTCCCAGAACAGCTCAGTTTCAGATGAATTATTCTGCATTATTGTGTGGACTGTGTCCCCCAGGCTGGTGTAATCTCACTGGCTTGTTACAGGTGTGGACAAGAACCCAGCCATGTTTGCCAGATGGAAACACCAATAGATCTTCATGAATTTTTCCCTTGGTAATTGCACAGACACTGGCTTGAAAAGAAATCCTGACCATTTGGAATTCCTTCAGTTGTTTTGCTACACCTCTACTTTATGATTCACTTTGTTGGAACTGGGGAAGTGAAACACAGGACAGAAATTGGGCTGTTGACCCAGTCAGGAGAGGGCTAGATGGGGAAAGGGGAATAACTTTCTCATTTTCTTCCTCAGAATCTGAAAAATTTAAGATTCAGTCTGCAGAAGCTCTAATGCAAGCAGGATTTTCCTAGTGGAGATTTTTGCATGCTCTTTTAAAGTTCACCTTACCTATTCTCTTTTCATTCAATTACTGTTCTGTGATAATTCTTGTTCAAAACCACCCAAATGACAGGAGAGCAGCAAATATGCCACCACTTCTGAAAAAAACATTGACAGGGAGGTGTGAGAATTGCACCCAGCAACTAGAATATCTGTTCTGGGCAAGTGAAAAGAAACTTCTGAAGAATTTCAATATGTAAAATCATATTTTGTATGACAGAGTGGCAAGACTCAAGACCATTTGCATAGTGAACAAGAATACAGCAGAACCATATAAAGTGCTGACAAAGGAGCTAGGACAAACAGAAGCAGTGTACAGACTGGGAACCTTCAGTCTAGTCAAGAGATGGCTGAAGAGGGTGACAGGAGTTTATGAAACCATAAGTGGCCAGAGAATGGCTGTTTGCTGTCCCTTTGCAAACGGGCAGGGGGATGCACTGGACAAAACCTGCTGGAGGCAGGGGCAGAGCAAACATGAGGATGATGCTCTTGACCTGCTGTGTGTTCCTGCTGCTGGCAATCTGCTGCTGTGCCTCCTACAAGATGTGCATTTTTTTTTCTCCTCAAAATCCAAAAGGTTCCTGTTAAATCCAAACTGTTACCCACCAATATAATGGGGTCATCAGAACACTCATGCATCCTTCTCACTCTCCACCTTGTCCTGTTTTGTTCCCTGTTCTACATTGCATGGTGCCTCTTGCTTTGTGACTGTGCTGAAAGCTGTCTGGGCCAGAGAAATGATGTCAATTGCACTGTCAGGGGTCATCACACCTTTAGGTATTGTCAACTTATTAAATAAAAATCACAATGTAAAATATTTTGGCCTGTTTCTCCAGTTTCAAGCATAGTATTCATTTCTATGGGTTTGCAGTGTAATCTCCATGTGGATATTCCTTAACCTTCCAACTCCATCTTGCTGCTCCAGCTGTGGCTTTGTAGAGTTGGGAAGTGGCAGAGATTACATTTTCAAGATCTCTAAAAACTAGAAGCTTAAAAAGTGACTTAAAGCATAAGAAGAGTTCCAGGCATGGACACCATGATAAAAGAAATGCAAATATCTGCAGATATTCTATTTTTACATTGATCTGCCTACACTTTTCCTTCCTCACAGTCAGGGCTGTCATCATTTGATTCCTGTTCTGAACCATGAACTTTCTGAAAGCCTGCTAAGACATCAGCTTGTCTCCATTAGCCTTGAGCACCTTTTGCTGTTTAAATCACAGTAAGTGACACTGCACTTTTTTGCAAAATGTAAGTGACAAAACCATAGATTGTTCTCTTTGTCAAGAGAGTCTGAAAATGGGGCAGGACTGGCAACCCTCCCGTTCTTCTTCACCTCTTCACTTTTATTTGAGAGTCCAAATCAGCTGGAAAGACTGCTGACTGGTGATGCAAGTTAGACCCTTCCACAGAGCAAGTAGGATGCGGATTTCAAGGGAGAGCAATGTTCAGTTTCTTGTTTAGGTGTGACGGGATCTGAATGTTCTCTGTGTGCATTAATAGCTGCACTTAATGTTCATCCTCAGGCAAACAGAATGGTAGCTTCAGCCCCAAGCTACATCTCATTGTTAGGTGTTTTCTAAGAATTGATGCTTTTCTTTTAAAACTTTCTTTTTACCCAATTATTTTATTTTATTCCTAAAGTCCATGAAGTATTTGGCTATACAAAAGCAATGCAGGCAGAAAATGTGGGCAACACAGAGAGACAAATGAAGGATTCCCATTACTGGGATTTTTGTGCAGTTAGGAACCCATGTGAATTGTTAGAGAAAGAGAAAAACACAGCTTCTATCTAGCTTTAAGTGCTAAATGTGTTTATAACATGACATTTTGATGTGTATAAGGATATTAATCTATGGGAGTTTTCCACAAAATAGAAAGTGTAGGAGCTTTTCTTTATAAGAGAGTTTCATCTTGTTCAAATTAATGGACAGATCTGCTAACAGAAAGTAGCTTTTAATACTAAATCTCCACTAACTTTTGTTAAGTTAATTTAGGCAACCAAGATTAACAAAATCTGTTGTTTTGTGTGGCTTCTGCACTGAACCATATGAAACAGCATCTTCCTTTGCATGAATTCCATCAGGCTTTAAAGTCCACAGGTTTAGTGAGGTTGCATTTATTAATCTTTTGACTGCAGCCTATCAAGATGACCATGCAGTTTCACCTGGCAACTTTTCAGTTTAATATGGGGTCTGGGGAGAGCCACAAACTTCAGGACAAAGCCCAGAGTTACCAATGTTTGTGACTGCCTAAAGTCCAGGCTTTCATGGAGGCCACCTGCCTTGCTAAAACTTGTCTCAAAGTTCTGGGCATTGTGGGCTATTTTATTTCCTCGGTTAAAGAGCAGAACTTCATCCCTGCACTAAATTTGTTACACAAGGCTTCTTGCCTAAGCAGCTCTTGCATTCATCCTGGACTGTAACACAGCATCCAGTCTGTGAACCGTGTCTGGTTTCAGCCAGCAGCACTAAATATAACTAATGCACAGCTCCACAATCTGGGCTTGCCCCGAAGCAGGACCTGAACAATGTTTAAATGCCTTTTGACAGCTGGTATGATGCACATTTGTTTTATGTACAGCTTTACTCATGGAAGGTTGAACCACGTCCTAGGAAGTCAATAGCTTTCCTAAACAATAAAGAGCTCTCCCCACCTGCCCTTTCTGTAAGCACAGGCTGTGCAGAGAACTGCCTGCCTTTAGTCACTCTGGTTTTGGTAGCCATGGAATAATCTGCCCAAATCCCAGCACTTAAAATATCAACCAACAGTTCCTTCCCAAACACATAAATTCAAGAAAGGATTTCTACACACAAGTAAAGCAAGTAAATAATGACATGCCTATGTCTTCCTAGACAGGGATAAGATTGGCAGTAGCAAGG